CATTTGTCACTTATCTCCATCTGGACATTGAGTCCTTGACTACTACCCTGGGATTGACCATCCAACCAATACCTCATCCACCAAACAGTCCATTCATCAAATCCATAACTCTCCAATTTAGAGAAGAGTATATTGTGGGGGACAGTGTGAAAGGCCTTAGAGAAGTACAAATAGATGACATCTGAGGCTTTTCCCTTGTCTACTGATTCAGTCACTCCATCATAGAAAGCCACTAGGTTAGTCAGGCATGACTTGCCCTTGATGAAGCCAGGCTGGCTGTCTCGAATTACCTTCCTGTCCAATATGTGACTGTAGTGTAAGCTACTATCTGTTCCATAATCTTCCCAGGCACAGAGGTGAGGATGACAACCTGTGTTGGTAGTTCCCAGGGTCCTCCTTTCTACATTTTTAAAAAACAGGTGCAATGTTTCCTTTTTCTCCACTCATCAAGGACTTCACCTGACTGCCATGACTTTTCAAGTATCATGGAGAGTCGCCTCACAAGTATGTGAGCCAATTACCTCATGACTCTGGGATCCATCTCATCAGGTCCCATAAACATATTCAGGTTCTTCAGGTGGTCATGAACTTGATATTTTCTTACAGTGGAAAGGACATTGCTCCCCCAGTTTTTGCCTTGTGGTCCATCCACTCAAGTTGTGTGGGAAGAGAGGTTGCCATTGAAGACCGAGGCAAAAAGTTGTTGAGTACCTCAGCCTTCTCCTCATCTGTTGTTAGTAGTTTGCCAGTCATGTTCATCAGAGGGGTACACTTTATTTGACCTTCCTTTTCTGGCTAACACATCTACAGAAGCCCATCTTATTGTTCTTTGTGTCCATTGTCAAGTTCAGCTCCAGCTATGCTGTGGCCTTCCTGACCCCATCCCGACACAACTGGGGAGTGTCACTATGCCATTCCCAGGATACCTGTCCCCACTTCCAGTGCCTGTGCATTTCCTTCTTTTAAACACACTGAACTAAAGTTGTCTGTCATCACCTTCACTTCTAGCCATTGATCTTACTTATGTGCTCACCCCTTGCCCCATCAACCTTACTCTGAATAATTCATCAGCCTCCCACCAAGTGCAATACAATTCAGAATTCCTACATGTCCTGTGTAATTCAGAAAACCCCTCTCCCTCCTCCCCAAGAGGGACTGTCCCTATTGTGATAAATGCAAAGACACATCATCTAACAGAGCAGAGTGTGGGCTTTTCTTTTCCTTTTGCGTTTTTCAGGTCAGCAACACACAACTGCTAACCTACATTTCCCATGTGAGTTGAACTTCACAGTTTCCTTTTCTGTTGCTTTTTCCGCACTTACTGCAGTTATCTCAAAACCAGTTCACAGAGTCTATGAACACCTAGTATTTTTAAAACTTGTTGTTTGGGGACTTCTGAGCACTGGTACAACACAGTACCTGCATAACACCAAAGGCAGGTGTGAAATACCATGTAATCAGGGTCATTTTTTGGACTGAGAGGTCAGAATACCTAGCAAAGCACAGCTACTTTGTAAATTATATAAAATTGCATTGTAAGCTAAATCGTTGCTAAGGCAAATATAACTTTCAACATTATGCACGTTTTTGAAAAATCATCCTGTGTTATACTGATTGTCAGGACAAGTTGAGCAATCCACCAGTAATTATTTAGCTGACCCATAAGAGAGCCTAAGAGAAGTTCAGAGACAACCTGGGCTTTACACACCACTAGGAAACCGCAATTTCACTTGAGGTGGGCTTGGACTCCAGCTAATGTTCAAAGGACACCCTCAAAACTTGCTAAGATCTTAACCATTATGAAAGAAGAAATTCACTCAACAAGGAACAATACTATCCTTATAGAAGTATTAATATAAATATTCACTTGCAGGGTCTTTTCCCCCTTACTATTTTAGGCAATATTTTAGCTGGACAGCCCTGGCTCTCACCTACAAGTGAATTAGGGTTTTATCACTCCCATAAACTGATTTCAAACCATACTGGGTTGCCCCAAGAGTCCTTTCCCAGAGGATATAGTTTCAGAACTAGTTCCAAAGACTTGAACTGCTTTCTCTATGGGGAGAAAAAGAATATTTCCATAATAGATCAACCTTTCTTCAGATATGTCAATATCTGAAAGATGTCAGTTCATCGAGAGAATCTGAGTTCAGGCATAGCTCCAAAGGCTCCATATACTTTCAAAGGGACCCTGCCTGTAATTTTAACCATTATAACAAAAGTGTATGGCTAGAAAAGGCTAGTACATATTGAAAAAAAATCTCACTGTTAGTCAGACACAGCTTCTTACTTGCACCAGTCATGTGGGGGTGTCACTTCAAAAAGGCAAAAGACAATAGCTTTTACTTCTATGACCAGCCTGCATTCTTGAACATCACATGAAAGAGAACAATGGAAACGTGGCTGAATGTGAGAAAGCACCAAACTGCAATGGTTTTCTGGGTGGGTGTGGAGAAGAAACACATACTACAGAAATCTAATAATTCTCCACCCAAGCATTGCTAGTGAATGACCTCATTGGTTTCCTACATATACTCCAGCAGCCTTCCTGCCATCACTCTGTTGAGCCAAGCAATGATGTCAACAGTCCACCTGTGAGAGTGATGTAGACCTCTAGGTCACGGTTGTAGGGAACTGGGATAAAAGCTGTGCCAGTGCTAATTAAATGCACCTCTTGTTTCACTGCTGATTTCCTCTGATAAGGCTCAGCTCATTTTTCCTGGAAAGACTTCCACGCTGTAAGGGAATCAGAGCCAATCATAACACAAAACAAATATTGCTTAGAGAATATGAAGACAGTATGTTAAATATTTAGTTTTAAAAATACACTAAAATTATTGCCTATCAGTGCTGGGGTAAATACAAATCTCATTAATTTATAAGTGCTGATGACAAGCTTAAACTACAAATACTAATTAGTGCAGATCGTTCATTATCATTCAGCAGTACTTATCTCTTTCATTTGTAATGCTCTTCCCAATTAAACTGGAGCAAAATTCTAACACCTGCTTTACCACTAGTCCAGTAAAAAAATATGCTTTGAGAATGGAGTTTGACATTTAAATAGCATCAGAATTAGCACTACAACTTTAATGAATATGTTGTCCAATAGCATTTAGTCTGCCATCAGAAAGTTATTAGCTGTGAGAAGGTTTTAAGCAGGTTGGACCTCTTGCCATAAATGTAATTCTAGAGAAATAATTGTATGGTGAGGATGTCAGGAATACATTCATATCCATTCATTTTGATTTGTAGCAATTGTGATAGTTCCAAGGAGTGTTCTGTCCCACATTCCTGAGCATTAGCAGTATTTTCCAAACAACCAATGATCAATGTCTATCTCTTTAGATTTTTAGCTCTAGAGGATTTTATGTTTATACAGTACCTCACCCTACAGACTCTCCTGGAATACGTAACATGGCTATGCTACCTCTCAGCAAATCAGGGTAACTAACTTGGATGTGGTTTTACAAACTCCCCCAGTAAAAAAAATCCTATACATAAAATGTCCTTCATAAGAACCCTAATTTTTTGTTCTGGGCAGAAACTGAAATGGAGAGATAATCCTTGAATTCGTTTGGTCTATACTGTCTTATGGCCAGTTACTATGGATTTATGAGGCTCAACTGCAGCTAGTTTGTGTTGAAGCATGCAAAGTGTGACTTGCTCAGAAAGTTCAACCCAAGAACATTTCACTCTGATGTTCTACAGAATGGCTCTCACACATTTGAAGCAGTTGCTTTCCATTCTTCACATGCACTCCTCACAATTTTATGACACACAACTTCCCATGCAAACTTGAATCCAGGCTATGAGGGAGAGAACAGAACTTCTTATCTTAACAGAATTTTATTGTTACCAGTAATTGGACTTTGGTCTTATTCAATTTAAATACACAGCTGTGCTCCACTTCTGATGGATGAGCATAATGTGGCCACGTAGAAGGAAAGCATGTCCCCAAGTCTAGTAAGTCAAAGTGACACAGTTTCCTGAACTCCAGGAACTCTCCTGGTCAGAAAGTACTTCCTTCCTTGTTTCAAACACTTGATTGTTTCAGAGGGAATTCAAAACAATAGATTAGAAATTTTCAACCTTTCCTAAGTGTACTGCTACACAAGGAAATCAGGCCATGCTCTGGAAGATGAGATAACATTGGGAGAGTACTCTTTCCGGAAATGCAATGGCTTTTGCATCCCTCCTCTAGCACCATCCCATGACTCAGCTACACTTAAGTAATAATTTATGCTACCAGATGTCAGATGCAGTTCAACTACTGTTTGGAGTAAGATATGTGTGGTTGGCAAAAGGCATGAGCTACCTAGCTTCTCAACTACTTGGATAAGGCATGTCAGGGAAGAAAGTATCAGGGGCTTTCTAATCCAACTCTGTACTTAAAAGGACAGGTAGGAAGAAAGGATGACAATTGCTTCCTTTTAGCACCTCCTTGTTTAAATCTCTGTAAAGGAGAAAGAATATGCTACTACTTCTGCAGTTCAAATCTACTCCTTCCCACCCTAACTTAGTTTTACAAAACCTGCAGAGGTGTTCACAAGAACTGGGAATAGATCAGGTTCATCAGCTGAAAAGCAATAATGACAGATGAAAGATTTAGCATTTAGGATATAATCAAGAAACGACAATTATTTATAGGCTGCAACTTGAATAAGGAAAGGCAAGGGACTTGTAAATTTTTTTTTCTGCAGTATCAGAGTGACTAAGTATTCTAGACTAACTTAAAAATATCAGAAACAGAACCAATGGAAAGAGTCATTCCTTCAGGCCCTGTAGTCAGAGGTCTTACATAATACTGCATTTTCCTAATTCTCTTTTCCTATCAATGCAGAACTACAAAACCTGTGAGGATAAAATTATTATTAAAAAAAATCCCCAAGAACTCACCTGATTCTACACATTATTTTTAGAGGCAAACAGGAAATGCACTTCCCAGTCAAGCTGGGTCAAAGGAAAGGGAGTGATCGAGTTGAATACTCTGCACTCACCGTTCCTACCAAAGGGTAGATGAATCCAGCTCCAATACTGGCTCGCACGTCGCTAATTGGCAGAACGAAACCGGTGGGAACACCCTTCCTCTCAGGCTGATGGGAGAGGGATAGGTGAGTTTTTGCCATACAAATGGGAAGATTTCCAAATCCCTAACAAAAAAGGGGAAGAAAATAAAAATGTTTTTAAGATTATAGTAAAGACAGAATATATTTTCACTTTGTTATCAGTATCTTCTAGAAATCCCCAAATCCGTACAGCAGTAGTTGACCTCGGCTTCTTAACAGCTAATATTCCAGAAATTGACAGAATAGTCTTTCACATACTATTCTCTTTCAGCTCAGGCCTGTATGTCAAAAGACTTGGCCATGGTGATATTCAGCTTCTATAGTAGGTTCTCAATCTAGAGTTAGGTGAAAAGGTTGCCTGTGTAATGGCTAGAGTGTGTGTTTTAAGAAAGGGTGCACACAACAGACACCACACTGAACAAGAAACATACACCAACTCAATAAAACTTCAGTCCAGTAAAACTTCCTTCTGGGTACTAATGACCAAGTTAGATACCTACTTGAGACCAGGTTTCATAGTTCAAAACTCTCTATGGGTACTAACTTCTCCTTGGGCGTAAACAGAAACCGCTCATGATGCTTTGCTTTGTTCTTAAACAAGATGAGAACTGTGGGAGCTGATGGCACCTGCTTCACTAATGACAGTGCAGTAGTGGGATAAAATCAGGGAAAGGCCCACAGCAGCTGCACACACAGTATTTGTCTCCCATGTTATTGATTAACCTTGAGTCAGGCACCTTCCACTCTTCTGTTCAATTCTTGACAAACAGGGATGCAATTCACAAGGTCAGGAGGAGAGGCAGCACTGCAGAGAATTGCATCTGCAGCCCAGTGCTGACAACAATCCTTTAATAACATTGTGAAAACACCTCCTAATACTACTAATGCTTAGACCAAAAACTGCTTTAGAGAATCACAGCAAGAAAGGATAAAGACATGCATTATTTTGCTTCAAGTACACTAAGTGAGCTTCCTTTAAATCTAGGAACTCAAACTAATTCTCAGGAGATATGCATTATAGAGAAGACAAATACACTTCTGCCTGTCTGACCAGGCTGCTGAAGCATATCGAGGATTTTTTCCATGACACATCTTCCATATTTTCTACATTCTGACAGAAAGGCTCCAGCTATGTTTATGTGCAGAAGCTATTCCATTACAGAAAATGCATTCATCTCTCCATGTGGCTTCAAAACTGTTTTCAAACTGTTAAAAAACCCACTCTCATGTGCTTTGGGAATTGTGATCTATTTCACCTCCTAGCATTTATATCCCCCTTGAATATAATACAAACAGAAGGAAACCAAAAGATTTTACAAGTATTGGGAGTTTTGTTATTAACGTGCATAGCTACACACAGGGCTTTTTGTGTTTCTAAGCTCTTTTTCACAGGTACAAATGAACACTCATATGCTAAAATTGGGCACGTTCACAAGCTGTTACTTTTGCAGATGTGTAGCTGTCATCTTTAAAGCAGTAACCCCAAACTAGCACTCCACGTGGAAAGCAGAGTTTCATCAGGAACCTCAGAATGATTCCAAACACCACACATATTTTATGGGAGGTAGCTCTCAAGGGTAAAACCATTCTGTCCTACCTAATCTAAACCAATGCCTACCGATCTCCACAGTTTAGCACCACATGTAAGCTCATGTATTTTAGCAAAGCTTGACTAAGCATTCCAGTTAGTCTGAGAAAATTTTACACCTTGAGATTTCCTAAGACTTCCATCCAGCAGGTATCTGACTGTTTAGTTCACTGGTGTTCTTACCTGCCGGGTGTAACAATCAATTTGTGACTGTGCAGTGGGAGACAACTCTATATCCTGAGCTCCATACACCTTCTGAGCAATGATTCTTATTTTTTCAACAATAGGAAGCTGCAGAGACAAGAAAACAATACAAGGATTAACATTATCCAAAACAAACTAGGATCTTATTTGTTGAGTGAGAAATCTGAATCTTCATTTAGATTCATCCTTGTTAACCAGGCCTGGAAAGTATATTCAGCTACAGGTATTTGAATTACAACCATGATTTCAGTTAATGAAGAACTCCAGTAACAGAGACATTACAAGAAAAGAAGCTTGCTAGACTTTTAGGTAGCTTAACTCTAAGGCAGCTAAAAGCTACTAAGATGCAAATAAAATCCCCCCTCAGATTTCAATTTCAAAGTGAGGTTTAAAGATGTTTCACAAGACACTTTATGAAGATGCTGACTATATAATTACTGTACCTTAATTAGGTGGAATGATGTCATATTCCTGACTTGAGGCTTTTTACAGGAACTGAAGCAGTTAAAAAAATAAATGTAATGAGGATTGAAGAGAACGTATTGCAAATATCCTGGATTTAATTCCTGGCAGCACTAAGCTGAATGGAATATTTAGTGACATCAATAGTCAAGATGAAACTTCTTTCATGTTGATTATTCAATATGTTCATACACACAGCAGTTTTGAATGCAGTGGAAGAAGCCCAAAACACGTCGGTTAACTTGCCTTTTGGATGCTCTTTGCTTGCAGTCTACGAGTAACAAAATCAAAGCAAAAGGAATTCCACTCCCTGTTGTCAGTAGGCCAACATAAAATCTAACAGCTTTCTGCTTTAATCTCAGTAAATTCATTGAGATGGAGATATTCACTTAGATTCAACTTGCATTTGTGTCAAAATATTTCAAACTAATTTGACAGTGGCATAATTACTATGCCCTCAGACCACTTCCAGTGAGCATAGATGTAATTTCCAAACAAAACCCAGCAGGGCTCTGGCTAACATCAGAGCAGACTGCTTTAATGACAGTAGTGGCATTCTGCTCCTCCTGGGATGGGCAAGATATCTTGTGTGATTGAGTCTGAACTGGACAGTCAAACTGTATCCCTATGGATTTTATTTTTTTAAATCACAGTTTCAGATACTTTTCAGGCCAGAACCCACACCTCAATTATGCAAAGGTAACCTCAGAAGAATCACCACTGGGGAAAAAGTTGTGACAGTGTGAATGGCAAATGAAAGTGTTTTTCAGAGACCATCAGATGTTTTTGCAAGGCATTCTCATACAATGTGTAGGGTGTCATAGGGGAGCTTGAGCCTATTTGATCTCACAGCACAGGTAGACGAGTCCTGAGCACAATCCAGACAGAAACCAGCAGGGAGGCATAGATTAACACAGCCCATGCATGTGCACACTCTCAGACATGCTTCCTTCCTGAAGTTTCAGGA